TCAAGGCTGAGGTCATAGGAGAGAAGCTCGAGGTTCTCGTTTCTCCAATATTTGGAGCTGGATGAGGAACTAGAGCTTGACTTAGCAATTGAATCTACTTAGCAACTTGTTGGTAGAGCTCTTCGAATGCTCTAGAAGTAACTTCTATTGTAAGGGGATTGGTCTCTTGAAGAACTAAAGGATCATCGACGGGGGTTGAACCGAAAGGGATAAGCTTGCTGGAAAAAGTCCTAAATGTGTATTAACCATGAGTTTTGATAGTGCTTCACATAGATGGCGTCAATTATGTTACCAACAATCTGCACTAACAGATTCCTAAGCACATTTAAGGATGATCACAAACAGAACCTTTAGTACTTGAAGCAAAGGTGTCGAGTTATATCATCATCACCCCTCTGATGGTTAAGATAGCGTGAAGAAAATTTATGCGAAGGGCTATAAGCTAAAGTATATAAAAGCGTACCTCAATAATGGATAAATGCCATGTATTTATAGAGGTATGTGGTCCAATCCAAATAGGATTGGAATACATAGGTGTCCATCCTGTTTGGCAGTCATAGAAGACTTGGAAGTCCTTAGGAGTTGGACATTACCATATGAAAGGAGTACTAATGATTGATAAGGTTAGGACTCTAGTAGTAGAGTCCTCTTAGGTCAAGGAACTCGGAGTGGCGTGAAGAAAATGTAGTAGATGAGAGTGGGAGCAGTGGATATGACTATCCTAACCTCGAGCATGACAAACCCCCAGGATGCTTGAAGTGAAAAGAGAAACCGAGATCCTTGAGCTTGGGTTACATGTCATGGTCAGGGTTAAACATAGATTGTCTATCTAGGTAGGAAACCTGATAGAAAAAGAAGAGAAGGATAGTGAGGCACATGCCTAAAGACCTCAAGCTCGAGGCTGAGCCCCACCATACAAACCCAAGGATGTTTTGGCTTGAGGAGAGAGCCCGAGTTATGACCTCAAGGCCTGCGGTCGTAGGTGGTCGGGCAACAAACATAAATTGTACACATTAATCATTAAGAGTAGTTAAAATGTGCGCTTCCTAGGCATCTTCTCGAATTAATCTTATCTTAACTTACCCTTTATTTTGGAGAAAGGATATTTTCTAAAACTTGGCTATCAGCAATCTCATCTAACTTAAGTGAGTAAACATGGCTAAGCAGCACTAAGATCCCTATTGCATGTTACACCAAGTGGTGCAATCATTGAGAAGTCAATACGATTTTGACATGTTTGGTAAATATGAACAAGATAACATTAAAAACATTCAAATAGAAAAAAAAAAAAAAAATTCAAGATCTTGTCAGGTATACAATCAATTCTTATATACTCTTTACCAAAACACAAGGAGAGCAAGAATTCATATATTCAACCTGAGAAGATTCCCCTCAGAATAGCTAAAAGGAAAATTTTGTTCTATTCTTTCGATTCTTCTTCATTCTCTTGGACCCGCAAATGAAGCTGAACTGAAATCCAACGAAATTGCCAAAACAAGAAAATAGTCCCTTTCCATTAGAACGTCCTCTTCGATGAAACCCTTTGGATTTCTTCTTACCCTTAATATCACTTGTCAGTGGAATTTGATCATCTTTTCTCCCTTCAATGCTTACTGATTTCGTTCTACCACCTTCAGATTCACGTGGAAGTGACCAGTTTTCGAAAACTGAGCTCCCATATTCGTCCCCTTCTGCCGTATATAATCCTTTCTTCAAATAAGCTGCCACCTCTGATGGCAATGGCCGCATTACAGAGAAATGGGAGGCGCTGGAGGCAACAAAACTCTTTATTTCAGCCTGCAGATCAGGTTCTGATGGATTCTGTTTTATAAGTTTTTGGGAAATTGGAGAAAAACTTGAATTCTTGGGTGATATTTCGATACTGGAATTCTTTTCTGACCCCTCCTGGGTGCAATTCTTGTTTTCTTCCTCAATCTGATCAAACATTTCTGCATCATTGTTCCTAACTGTCGAAATACTTAATTCGCTGCCCGGGTTTTCATCCAGGATTCTGTTGTCTATCAGGTGGACAGAAAGATTCAGGATTCCTTGCAAATGACCCGATGGACGGCATATTTGAAGCGCAACCAGCCGAGAGCATTGATTTTTCTGCACGAGGGGTTGCAAAAGATTGTTGATGGGAAGATGGGTTGTCCCAATGGGGAGGTCGCGCAACCATGCAACATTATAGATTTCGATTGTGACAGCTGGATTTTCAGATTTAAGGAATGCATCATCAACGAGGAAGACAACCTTGTAATTCCATGTTGGATTCGTGTGCCCTTTGAGATCCACCTTTGTCGTTAACTTATGATCGGGATGTATATATACAACTGCAAATGTGCGCAGCATTTTGGACACCGGAGGCAGGTCTTTTGCTGAAATGATGGTGATTTCGAGGAGCTTGAAGGGAAGTTGATGAAGCGACATGGTAATTGTTAAGGGCGTGTAGATTTCTGTCTTCTTCTCTTGTCGCCGTCTCTGAGCGACGACAAGTTGGAATGGAAGGAGGGAGAATAAGCATTAAGAAGTGGTTGCTAATTTGGTCAATGCAGGCTATTTGGTTCTCGGTTCATTGCCACTAGAAAATCGGAAGGTAACAACGAAATAATAGCTATGGTTGTTGGGATTTAAGATTAGAGCTAGAAATTGTGTGTTTTTCTCTCTTTCTTCCAAAAAAAATGATCTCAATAATATTCCTAGATATAGTATGCCACTCACTAGAAATGGGTGTTTTCTCTCCAGACTGGATTGAACTGATTGGTTTAATTTGAATTCATTTAAAATTTAAGAGGTTCAAAATCATGGTCCAAAATGAGATAGTTCTGAAACTGATGCTGGTTCTCAATTCCAGCTAAAAAAATTTAAATTTGGTCTAATATTATTATTTGTTTATATTCTCTAAATTAAATTAACGAATAAGTAAATTTATAAAATGCCACGAGTAATGTATTGAAGCTCAGAATGAAGAATAAAGGGGGAGGGGAGGTTGAAGGTTTGGTGAAATTTGATTATGATATGGAGCAGGAGCCCATGGCTACTACTGAGCTGAGAATCGTACATCTAATTTTCATTTTAGATTTGGTGTATGAGATGAGCAGCATATTAGAGATTTGATTACAAATTAGGGAGACTTCGATGAGTTATGAGCATTGATAATGAAGAGTAGGGAGATACAACTTCAAGAATAAGGGCTTCAATTGATACTTTCAATGCAATGACTGATATGGAGGATCTAGCGATCATTGCATAAACCTATTCTTTACTTTAGTTTATTTGTGTGCTACTTTATAACATGTGCAATAAACTTTCTCATTTTTTGATTGTGCAAGGCTTGTCTTTGAGTCCAAGGCTATACTAAAGTTTGCAATCAATGTATATTCAGTTAAAAGCAACTGGGTGATTAAATACAAAAAAGATGATGCTTACCAAAATTGAGAGCCAGATGCAGAGGGGATTTTCCATGGGTATTGTATGCTAACAACGAACATAGTAAGATAAGTTTTGTGATAAAAACATCTAGAGAAGAGCATACTTGTGCTATGGTGTATACGAAATTCAGAGTGAGCTCAACTTATTTGGCAAATAGATATTTATTTGACTAGCGGGCTAAACCAAACATGTTAGTGAGCACATTCATGTAGAGGCTTAAAGGGAATGGTTTAGGTGACATCTCACCTTAACAAGTGTAAAAAATAAAGGATAAGGTGCTAGGAAAATTAGGAGTGTGATGGACCATTACAATGTACCATGGGATTATTGTAAGGAGTTGAATAGGACAAATGTACTATTTTGGTTAAGGGGTATGCTAGAAAATTCAAACGACCATACATTTGGCTTATATTATTGATGGAGGGTTTACTAGGGTCTGTAAAAGGGGTTGATCAGGATAGGTGGTTGCTTACTAAAGATAGAGCACGATGGACAGTTGTTAACTGCAGTTGGCATCAATGCTAATAATGGTATGTATTTATTGGCATGTGTAGTCTTTGACATTGAGAACAAGGATAACTGGAGATGAATTTGAGAACAAGGATAACTGGAGATGAATTTTGGAGTTGTTGAAAGATGATCTGCATATGCACAACAACCATAGCTGGACATTTATTTATGATAAGCAAAAGGGCTTGACTAATGCAAACGAGTTATTGTTTGAGCATTCAGAGCACAACACACGTGTTAGACACCTATAAAACAATTTTAGTATCTCTTGCAAGAGATTGGTAATAAATGCATTTTATACACTTATTTAGGCCATAAAACTTGAATAATTGGGGTAAATATGTTGGAAATACGGATTAAATATATATAAATTATGTTTTGCATACAACATTGATGAATATAGTGAATTTAGGAAAAACAAGTGAAAAAAGATCAAAACAGAAGAAAAACAAAGTTCAGAGAACAAAGTGCAAATGGTCGAAAGAGACTCAGGAGAGATAAACAATGAAGTCAAAGAGTCAAAGACCAATTTAGAAATGAATCCAAGCTATTGTTGATGTTCGTCACAAGAATCGAGGAGGTGTACATTTAGGAGTTAGGGAATATTGTGAAAGAGAGATGTGTACCATCCAATTTGAATGGTGTGATCTTAGTGTTCAAATATATATGTCAATTATGAATTAAATTGATTACTGAATTCTCACATTTCAAAAATCGCGTCCTCTTAATTTTCGAGCAAAAACTTGTCTAAATAATATTAGAATATTATCAAAAGTTTGTGTTTTTGTTCAGTTCAAGAAGAGGCAACCAATGTGGCAATCATTACATTGGTTCAGCCCATATGATTGGTCGTATGTTGAAGTAATAACTCTAGAAGAAACAATGTATCATGGGAGATAGATAATCATGTTGGCTCCAGTGCAGGTGTCAAATCTATCTCAAGGAGATTTGTTGCGACAACAATTCACATCCTTATTTTCATTTCATCTCTTTTTCTACTATTTTAATGTTAGATTGTGACACTGTGGATCACTCCAAAATACAGAGGGCTAGGCAAATCCAACGATACTCAGGCTCAGTCCGTTTTATGCTTTGACATACAATTTTCCAAAAGAAATAATTATATCTAGTCATACAAGAACTCCTTAATATCAAACAAGATCATAACAAAGACAATTTTTAATATTTTTTCCCATTCATATGATACATACTAAATTGACCAATACTAACCAATTGACTATGTGTGTAAAAAAATTGCTCGTATTAATTCGCTATATATATTTATATATATATGACATGCACTTCCTTCTTCAGTCAGTAATCCACCAAGCGTCATCATATAAGTAGGTTAAACCTAATCTTAATTTCTTCACCAATCTGCATAGAAACAAACAGTTCATATCTCAATAAGCAACCGAATAAGAGAAGTATATTAGTCAGAAAATAATGCATTAAAAACAGAAATATCTTAATGTAATTGGCTAAACTTACCATCCTTTTTCTTTCCACAAGATCTCAAGAAATAACAAAACGCAATTCCCAATAATAAAGCAGCAATCCCACCAAGAATAATTGCTATTGATTTTGATGAAATGCCTTTTATTCCCTTGTCATCTGTCAAAAAGGAAATTGTTTATTAAGATCTTAAAAATGTTCAGTGTATTGTAAAATGAATTTCACTTTTTCATGACTGTTTTGCCACCTGATAACATCGTGGCTGCGAAATCTTGAAATTGAGAATGAATAGAGCTTCGAATATGTGATGTAAGATGAAATACTGTCAAATTTTAGACATTATTCATTTTCCTCATTAGGTGGGACATTGACTTGAGGAAACGTAAGCCATGTTAAGGAGGAAATTTCACAAAAATGTCAATTTTAATCTAGTCGTTTGCAAAAATGTCTAATTTGGAAGAATTTAGACCAAAATATCCTTATTAACAATTTATAATTCCACACTAAGATAAAAAAAAAAAAGGACATTTTTGCAATAGTGTTATTGATCAATTACATTTTGACACATAACCTGCCATATTTATTTCAAAAACTATACATGTCAAATAACAATAAATGTTATGTTTTTCATTGATTCAAAAATATCGAGAACGACATTTTTAAATGTAGAGAAATGTCATGTTCAAAATGAAATGTCATTCTAGACAAATAAAACGATGTTTAAATGTCGAGAATGACATATGAAATGTTCAGAAACATTATTTTAATGTAGCTTCTCATGAAAGCCACTTCTCAAAATTCGTGACAAATTGATAAAAAAATCAAATGTCGAGAATATCATTTTCAAAATGTAGTTTTTTATTAAGGGCGTAATAGACAAGTTGACACTAAATTCAAATGAGTAAACACTTTTCAATTCATACCCTTAAAATTGGACATTCTTAAAAATGCCCTCATGTTAAATTGTTGTCAATATGTAACGTTCATGCTACGATTCTGACATTAAGTTGAGACTAACATACTGATTAAAATTGAAAGTAAATCGTAGCTAAAACAAATTAAAGTTGGTTGATCCACTAAAAGAGTCTATTTACTTGCCTCCATTTGGCGAATTTAGAAACAGTTATGAATAGGATTAACAAACGAAATAACAATACATCTCATGAAATGTATAACAAGTAATAATTAAGTTTGAAATTAATATTAAATTTTAACAAGTAATAGCATATTCTTATATCATGTGAAACTATCCGGACTAGTTGAAAAGCAGACATTTATTTATTTGAATTTTACCTTTGAACGAGTAGCCACCAAACTCATCTCCATGATAACTATAGCTGATGAAGCAGCTATCTAGATATGCTTCTCCAGAAATAGAATACTTGCATTCTTCCTCAGCTATTTGCACAGCGCTGCTCACGCACACCCCACAGTCACAGGCCGCCAAGCTTTCTTCACACTGCGCCATCACATGGATTAATTCATAAGTCGTCTCATAAAATCCATTCCCACTCAAAATCCCACTTTCTACTGCTGCAAATGCTTTGTCTTTCACTTCTTCAAATCTACTTTTTTTCACCTTATATTTGCTGCAAGTTTTGTGAAGAAGTTGAACTCGAGAAGTCTCGATCCCATCAGGCTGATAGTGGACGTAGCACCCGGAAAGCTGGATTCGGACTGGTATGTTTGAGCCGCACAGATTTTTTGACAGTTCAGGGAAGTTTTTCATGCAGTTTCTGCACTCGGATTGGGTGAGATCATTTCTGCACTGGAACCGGCCCAAAACTGGACCCACGTGATCATTGGAAATGCTGGTTTCATAGAACTTGGACTGAGAGGATTGGATGAGAAATTCTTCAAAAAGTGAGGAAAGTTCTGAGGACTGAGAAAGATTGATATTTGTTGAAGTTTGATTTGAACATTGTTTGTATACCAAGTTGTCATGGTCTGCTGAAATGGTGTTTGCTGCAGCTGGTAATATAAGAACAAAATTTATGACAAGAATTAGCCATAGAAGAGATTGGAGAATTAAAGAATTTGCTGATAGATCCATGCGAGAATGTGTTTGAGGTTCATTTGTTCAAGATTGGCTACGAGATTGAAGGTTACTTTAAGCATATAATATTCCACTTTTTGTTAGGAAAAAAGATAATGGAAATGTCTTGCAGTTATGTTGCTTTTTTTACATGTAATGTTGGTATGGGAGATTTTTATTTTTTCACACCAAATTCCATCTACCCCTTCGATGGGTTTAAGATTGTATAGTTAAGCGAAAATTTCATTGTTGTCCCAACTTTTATAGTTTTAATAATAAGTTGGTCTTCAACCTTATTGTTGTTGTACACTCGTCATTAATGATTGAAAACATACAAATATTCATTAAAATTATCGAATACAGCTTGCTAACATGTCTTATTTTACATTTTTGGACTTTATGTCAAGTTAGAAAGCAAAATCAAGTTCCACAAAGTTGGATATGCAAGGATCACATGACGATGATTCAATAGAAATTTGGAAAATTTTCGTTAATAAGGACTGAATTGCTCCTTTTGAAAGAAGGGATCAAGTTACTATTAAAACGATAAATTGAAAACCACTAGTGCGATTTTCCCTATACTTAATCCCAAATATAAAAACATTGGCGTAACCTCGATGTGTGTGTGTGTGTGTGTGTGTGTATATATATATATATATATG